GGACCCCTGACCGTTAGGTCCAGTCGTGACTGACTCTGGGGTTGCGGCGCTCATCTCGCTTTATTGGCCGAGGGAGCCGGCGTCCAGCTTCCGGGTCATGTGGCCAGCATGACTAAGCCGCTTCTGGCGAACCAGAGCAGCGCACGGAAACGCCGTTTACCTTCCCGCCGGAGCGGTACCTATTTAACTACTTGCACTTTGACGTGCTTTCGAACTGCTAGGTGGGCAGGAGCAGGGACCGAGCAACGGGAGCTCACCCCGTCACGGGGATTCGAACCGCCGACCTTCTGATTGGCAAGCCCTAGGCTCTGTGGTTTAACCATGCTTTTCAGGTAGCTTTCATTTTTTTAGAAAAAGGGGGGTCCTTTTTGTAAAATTGCTTCTAATTAGCAGTGAGACGAGACAGAATGCTTAGCTTTCCACAAGATTTATTTTCATCTCATTTCACAAGATTTATACACCGATTGTAACAAAACAACGCTCAAAGCAATTAAAAAAAAGATTTAAAATACCAGTAAGAAGAACGAAGAGCACTAATTTAAGGCTTATAAAATAACAAGAGGCTAAAAACAGATTAAAACTCGCAGCTACTTTCTCAACACCTGAATATGCCTGTTTTTAGCAGCGCTGAAAAGCGAACTGCACGGGCGCCTTTCTGAAATCAATTGGCGGGGAGTTCCAAAGTTTACTGCCACACTAAAAGACAAGAGCAAAATGGCACCTTTAGCACTGCCGGTAGTGACCTTGCAGTGATTGTGCAATCTGCCTCAAATCACCTGATTTATATAAATTTTTGGCGGGGCGGGGAGAGGAATCTGTTGAGACTCTCCCCTTCCCTTTAGTTGCCAGCGCCCCGCTGAGTCACAAAATGGGGCAGGACTTTTTTGGCTGTGCGGCTGAGCATTGTATGGTGGCAGGCAGGCAAGGTGGAGGCCCTCGATTGCTCCTCTCGGCTCTCTCCATGAACCCAGGAGTCCGGCGGCGACTCCTACCTTTACGACAGCTCGTTTGCTGAATCCGTGAAGCGTTAAGCAAGGTGTGGCTTTATAGGTCCTGCTAGCAAGTGGCTTAGACTTTGAATCCCTTTTTAACCTACCAGGTTGTTCCTTGGCAAAAAGCCAACGAAAATCGGGGCCTGGCTTTAGATCTTGGTGCCCCCCAGCGGCTGCTGGGAGTTGCAATCCGAAGCAGCTGGGGGCACCAGGTTTGTGGAAGGGTGGTCCGGGTCAGTCTGCCCCACTCCCTCCAGTACTGTAGAGTTTAACCCCAGTAGAGGGTTCGTGACCCCTAGGAACCTTGCACTGCCAACCTCAGAATCATCCACGCCCCCAATCAAGCGCGAGTCAATGGGTTTAGCAAACAGTAAAGTCATTCATCTTGGGAGAAAAGCAACGACAAACCTAGACAGCATCTTTAAAAGCGGAGACATCACCTTGCCAACAAAGGTCCGTATAGTGAAAGCTATGGTGTTCCCAGTAGTGATGTATGGAAGTGAGAGCTGGACCATAAAGAAAGCTGATCGCCCAAGAATGGATGCTTTTGAATTCTGGTGCTGGAGGAGACTCTTGAGAGTCCCATGGACTGCAAGAAGATCAAACCTCTCCATTCTTATGGAAATCAGCCCTGAGTGCTCACTGGAAGGACAGATCGTGAAGCTGAGGCTCCAAGACTTTGGCCCCCTCATGAGAAGACTCCCTGGAAAAGACCCTGATGTTGGGAAAGATGGAGGGCACAAGGAGAAGGGGATAATGGAGGACGAGATGGTGGGACAGTGTTCTCGAAGCTACCAGCATGAGTCTGACCAAACTGCGGGAGGCAGTGGAAGACAGGAGGGCCTGGCGTGCTCTGCTCCAGGGGGCCACGAAGAGGCGGACACCACTAAATGACTAAACAACAACAACAAAGTCATTCATTGGGATTCGGGGCAAAATTAAAGGCTGAAAGCAGGAAGGGCAAGGTTGTGTCTGCATAGCTGTGTTGCAGGACCCCCCCCCCCAAATCATTCAGTTTGTACAAACACGACACACACACACACACACTCACACACGACATACATGATGCTTCTGTTATAAATTCATAGAAAATCAGCCGTGCATCGGATCTGTGCCGTTCCACTTTTATTTTACACCATGAAGGAAGGACTATCAAAGGGGGGAGACTTGACACAAGGCCGCCATAATCCCCCAAGCGTGAGCCCTACCCAGTTGGCATGCCAACCTTGATGGTCCTAGACAGAAGATCATTACACTCACAAAGGACCTGCATACAGAAGTGGATTCAGTACGGACTGAAACAAAGGACAGTGACCAGCCCTTCCCTCTGGGGGCAGAAAACAGTGAACTCCTCTTTGTCCTCAGGAATGTAATCACGGGGAAGGGGAAAGGAGGAACTGGACAGGTGACAAGACACTCAGGTTACCACCACAACTCCTCTCTGAACCCCTCCTCTTTGTGATGTGTCAATGATGTAGTCATGATGTAGTCTTAGGGGTGTAGCATGGGGGATTAGGTAAAGGGACCCCTGACCGTTAGGTCCAGTCGCGGACAACTCTGGGGTTGCGGCGCTCATCTCGCTTTACTGGTTGAGGGAGCCGGCATACAGCTTCTGGGTCACGTGGCCAGCGTGACAAAGCTGCATCTGGCGAGCCAGCGCAGCACACGGAAACGCTGTTTACCTTCCCACTAGAAAGCGGTCCCTATTTATCTACTTGCACCCGGGGGTGCTTTCGAACTGCTAGGTTGGCAGGCGCTGGGACCGAGCAACGGGAGCGCACCCCGCCGCGGGGATTCGAACCGCCGACCTTTCGATCTGCAAGCCCTAGGCACTGAGGCTTTTACCCGCAGCGCCACCCGCGTCCCGCATGTCCTTTTAACAGTTTTCCAAATCCCAATTCTTATAAAATTTAACTTAGACATTAACATCCTTAAATCTTTACCTTATGGAATTAAACATATTAATTCATCACTGAACATAAATAAAATCCTAAACCAATTAAGTATCTGCAAGCTGTTTTCAGTTAATTTGACTTAACAAATTTAGCTAGATAATCATTCAGTTTAATCCACTCTTCCTGATACTCCTCCTCCTTCTGGTCGCGGACTCTAACAAAATACGGGCAGCAGTTGTGGCATACAAAAATAATTTAACATCTTTCTTGGGTAATTCCAAACCTGTTATTCCAAGAAGAAAGGCCTCTGGTTTCTTTATCAATGTATATTTCAACATTTTTTCCAATTCATATAAATCTTTCCCCAGAAGTCTTTCACCTTGGGACAGGTCCACCACATATGATAAAAGGTTCCTTCCTTTTCTTTACATTTCCAACATATATTGTCACAGTTAGGCAATTTTATTTTATTCTTTGGTAGATTTGCAAAAAGAAAAGCGCGCACCGACGAATAAATTTCAGAAAGGGGCAAGTTTAGACCTTGCTGACCCTGGGAGGTATACGGACAGCTTCCTGGCTCTGGGAGAGGAAGCAAGAAAGTGCCCCACGCTGACTCACAGACTGGAGTCATGTTTTTAAATTGCTGCAAAGACCTTTCGTTGCTTTGTTTAACTTCTTGAAACTTGCACGCCTGGTATTTACCTGGGGAAGGGACGGGCCGTGAGTAAACTCTCCGGTTTCAAACATTCAAACGGTAGCAGTAAAAGGGCAGGGCTGCAATTTATCCTCTCCGACAGAGGATCAGTGGGACTTAAGAACCTGGGTAGGCAAATTAAGGCCCGGGGGCCGAATCCGGCCCAATCGCCTTCTCAATCCGGCCCGCAGACAGTCCGGGAATCAGCATGTTTTTACATGAGTAGAATGTGTGCTTTTATTTAAAATGCATCTCTGGGTTATTTGTGGGGCATAGGAATTTGTTCTCACCCCCCCAAAAATATAGTCCTGCCCCCCACAAGGTCTGAGGGACGGTGGACCTGAAAAAGTTTGCTGACCCCTGTTTAAGACCATCTGAAGAACTCTGCCAAAGGCCCATCTAGCCGGGTATCCGTTTCCCACAGTGGCCAACCAGATGGCTGTGGGAAGCCCGAAAGTGGGACCCGAGTTTGAGGGCAGGTGCTGCCACACTTAAAGATTGATTTATTGGAAGTGTGGATGATCTTGCGCCTGTGACAGTTCCAGTTCCGCAGATTAAAGCAGTTGAGTGGGAATATTTGGGGTGAGGCAGTCTCCATGCTTCAAGGCTTTGCTTCCGTCCTCATAAAAAGACATGTGGTTTTGATGTGTGTGGTGATATATCAACGCATCTTGATTCCACTTACCTTCACTACTGGTGCCATTTCAGCCCTGAAAAAAAAGAGCCAAACCTTTTAAATTTGTGGGTGTGTATTTTTTTAAATATTTTTTATTAGTTTTCAGTAACAATCCTCCAATATACGCTTCAATGTATCAATACCAAGTTATAATATCAATTCCAGTATCAATCAGTCAAATACCCAATTACATAATTTAAGTGGTAGAATTGAAGGTTTGATAATTTACTTTAATTCCGCTCCCAAACCCTTATTTAATCCCATTACATTCCTATTGTAATAGCGATCCTTATACAACAGCTGCAATATCCTTAACTTCTATTTGTGTTAACACATCTAATAATTTATAAGTCTGCCAGTATTAATAATCAGGATAAATTTGTGGTTTTTAACTTACTGTCTCCAGCTAAGTTTTCACTCCAGAAATCGACGGCGCCCAGTGAGCCACGCATCCCTAAATGTCTCTATTTTGCAAACGGCAAACGATTGCGATACAACCCAGCTGTTTTTCTTTTTTCAAAACCGTGAAATATTTGTGTGCCGGTGCTTAAAGCAGAGAAAAATGAAAGTGTTTGCTGTAAAATTAAATTGGTACCTTTAAAAAGCAAGCGAACGGACCCTGGACAGATAAAAAAATGAACTTGAAATCCTTTGCCAGACTTTGGGGAAACAGTAAATTGCAGCCTTATTGCAGAGAAGCATTGCATTCGCATTTTCTGAATCTCCTCCCTTTATCTTTGCAGCGTCTCGCCAGGCCACGCGGGCACTGATGGTGGTCTCCCTGGTCCTGGGGGCGATTGGCATGGGCGTCGCCACCATGGGCATGAAATGTACCAATTGCGGGAGCGAGGACAAGGTGACGAAGGCTCGGATTGCCATGACAGGAGGCATAATCTTCATGGTTGCAGGTAAGTCGGCCAAGGAATGGCCCGTTTCCTGCTATGTGGGCCTAAGAAGAACAATGGCCGCTGGATCAGTGCAAAAGGGGTGGGGGGAGGGCATTCTCAGCCGGCCTCAAAGGGGGAAAACCCATGAGCAGGATTCGAACGCAAGAGCCCTCTCCCTTCCTGCCGTTTACAGCTACCGGGATTTAGAAGCATCGCAATGCCTCTGACTCTGGAGGCAAGAACACAGCCTTAATAATAATAATAAATAATAATTTATTTTTTACACCCCGCCCATCTGGCTGGGCTTCCCCAGCCACTCTGGGCGGCTTCCAAAAAAATGTTAAAATACTGTTAATACATCAAACATTAAAAGCTTCCCTAATCAGGGCTGCCTTCAGATGTCTTCTAAAAGTCTGGTAGTTGTTCTTCTCTTTGACATCTGGTGGGAGGGCGTTCCACAGGGCGGGTGCCACTACCGAGAAGGCCCTCTGCCTGGTTCCCTGTAACTTGGCTTCTCGCAGGGAGGGAACCACCAGAAGGCCCTCGGAGCTGGACCTCAGTGTCTGGGCAGAACGACGGGGGTGGAGACGCTCCTTCAGGTCTACTGGGCCGTTGAGGCCGTTTAGGGCTTTCAGGGTCAGCACCAACACTTTGAATTGTGCTCAGAAACGTACTGGGAGCCAATGCAGATCTCTCAGGACCGGTGTTATGTGGTCTCGGCGGCCACTCCCAGTCCCCAGTCTAGCTGCCACATTCTGGATTAGTTGCAGTTTCTGGGTCACCTTCCAGTTAGCCAGGTGAAAAGGAGGGTTGAGCTCTGCAACCGCTCTTGCAGGGAAAGCATCTATTGAAGGGAGGCTGCAAATTGGATCTGTGGAATGGGGAGAGGCTGTTTGTTTTGGTAGTGCAGAAGCAGTGATGTTGTCATACAGGAGGGAATACCGTGCCCATCTCAAGGGAGGGCGGCAGCAATCGGCGAGAGGAATCAGTGTTAGAAACTCAGATATATAAGCTAATCGCTCAACAGCACCTTGAACCCAGGCCAGGGGCGCCACAATGAAATGTCTAGGCAGCCCCCCCCAAATGAAATTTACCGTATTTTTCGCCCCATAGGACGCACCGCCCCATAGGACGCACCTAATTTTTTTTGGGGGGGGGGAAATAAAGAAAAAAAAATTCCCTCCCCAGGCATGGGGCAGGCGTGGGGGAAGCCCGAGCTTCCCCCGACCCCAGCCCCCAGAACAGCCTGCTATCTGCAAGCCTCCGAAGCCGCGCGGGGCTCCGGAGGGTGGCGCAGAGCTGCAAGAAGCCCTGGAGCGCAGGTAGCTCTGCACCACCCTCCGGAGCCCCGCGCGGCTTCGCACCGGGATCGGGAGGGTGGCGCAGAGCTGCAGGAAGCCCTGGAGCGCAGGCAGCTCCGCGCCACCCTCCGGAGCCCCGCGCGGCTTCGCGCCGGGATCCGGAGGGTGGCGCAGAGCTGCAGGAAGCCCGGGAAAGCCTGCATTCGCCCCATAGGACGCACACACATTTCCCCTTCATTTTTGGAGGGGAAAAAGTGTGTCCTATAGGGCGAAAAATACGGTGCCATTGTTGTTGTTTAGTCGTTTAATCGTGTCCAACTCTTCATGACCCCCTGGACCAGAGCACGCCAGGCCCTCCTGTCTTCCAGTGCCTCCCGCAGTTTGGTCAAACTCATGCTGTAGCTTCGAGAACAGTGTCCCACCATCTCGTCCTCTGTCGTCCCCTTCTCCTTGTGCCCTCCATTTTTCCCAACATCAGGGTCTTTTCCAGGGACTGTATTACTATTAATTTCATTCTTACACCACTTTATATTTTAAAGTATCTCAAGGTGGTTTAAAAGGTAAAGGGACCCCTGACCGTTCGGTCCAGTCAAAGGCGTCTCTGGGGTTGCGGCGCTCATCTCACTTTCAGGCCGAGGGAGCCGGCGTTTGTCCGCAGACAGCTTTCCCGGTCATGTGGCCAGCAGGACTAAGCCGCTTCTGGCGCAACGGGACACTGTGACAGAAACCAAAGCGCACGGAAACGCCGTTTACCTTCCTATTGATCTACTTGCGCTTGCGTGCTTTTGAACTGCTAGGTTGACAGGAACTGGGACTGAGCAGCGGGAGCTCCCCCCATCGTGGGGATTCGAACCGCCGACCTTCCGATCGGCAAGCCCAAGAGGCTCTGTGGTTTAGACCACGGCGCCACCCCTTCCTTACCCCCTGGAGCAACAGGAAACAAGCTTGCGCCATCTTCCAGGTGACGGCCCTTCAGATGTTTGAAGATGGCTATCGTATCTCTTGCCAAACTCCCTCCACCGTTCCTTATAAGGCTTGTTTTCCAGAGCCTTTTATCATCTTGGTTTCCCTCCTCTGGACATGTTCCAGCTTGTCAACATCCTTCTTAAACTGGGGAGCCCAGAACTGGACACACGACTCCACATGGTGTCCTTCCAAGGCTGAATAGAACAGTTCCCAAACTCTGGGAACTGTAGTTTCCAGAGTTCCCAGACTCTGGGAACCGTAGCTGTACGAGGCAAATCTCAGCACCCTTAACAAACTACATGTCCCTGGTTTCTTTTTGGGGAAGCCGCGACTGTTTAAAGTGGCTTCTACTGTGTGAGATGAATGGGGAATAATAATAATAATAATAATAATAATAATAATAATAATAATAATAATAATAATAATAATAATAATATATTTGTACCCCGCCCATCTGGCTGGGTTTCCTCAGCCACTCTGGACGGCTTCCAACAAAGATTAAAAATACATAAGAAAACATGCACACACCTGAGAGGCATTTATCTCCGCAAACAATTAGGATCTTTGAGCATAAAGGGCTCAAAGAGTCTATAAAGTCGTAAATATATATTTCTTTTTTTACAACTTCTGGGCAGCAGCTTGTAACATCCTGAATGCTGGGGGGATAAAACTTCCGAGCGTCATTTGGACAAACTTGCATGTGCAGCATGTGGAACTCCCTGCCACAGGAGGCCAACTTGGATGGGTTTAAAAGAGGACCGGGCAAATTCATGGAGGAGGCGAGGGCTATGGATGGGCTGTGCTGGGCCCTACCTGCGCAGTCGGAGGAAGTGATGCTGGTTTCTGGAAACTGCAGGAGGGGAGAGGGCTCTTGAGTTCGAATCCTGCTTGTGGGTTTCCCATAATAGTCATCTGGTTGGCCACTGTCAGAAGAGGATGCTGGACTTGATGGGCAACTGGCCTGATCTAGCAGGTCTCTTCCCATGTTCTTTATGAACTGAACTAGCAAAGGAATCGTAGAATTGTGGCGTCGGAAGGGACCCCGAGGGTCATCTAGTCCAACCCCCGCTGTGGATCTTGACTTAAAGCATCCAGAACAGATTATGGGTTTCGAACTGAAACGGCTTCCTTCCCCCCCCCCCCAAATTTTTTTTATTGGTTTTCACAACATTATAAACAAACAACCACATAAGACAAACAAACATAAATCTAGCCTTCTTGAAAATTACACTTCTTAATATTGTTAAGTGACTTCCCCGCTCCTCCTTGGTTGAATTCATTGCATGTCCTTTTACGGTTTTCCAAATCACAGTTCTTATAATTTAACTTAAACATTAACATCCTTAGATCTTCACATTATGAAAATTAATACATATCTAATTCATCACTTAACATAAATAAATCCTAAAAGCCAATTAGTATCTGCAGGCTGTTTTTTCAGTAATTACATATTTACCCGTATTTTTCGCTCTATAAGACGCACCAGACCACAAGACGCACCTAGGTTTTTGGAGGAGGAAGACAGAAAAAAAATATTCTGATCTCAGAAAGCCAGAACAGCAAGAAGGGGTTGCTGTGCAGCGAAAGCAGCAATTCCTTCTTGCTGTTCTGGCTTCTGGATAGCTGCGCAGCCTGCATTTCGCTCCATAAGACGCACACACATTTCCCCTTACTTTTTAGGAGGGACAAAAGTGAGTCTTATAGAGCAAAAAATACGGTAACTAAGTAATCATTAAATTTAATCCACTCTTTCTGATACTCCTCCTCCTTCTGGTCGCAGACTCTTCCGGTTAGGTCGGCTAGCTCCGAAAAATCCATCATCTTCATCTGCCATTCATCTATCGTTGGTAATTCTTGGGTTTTCCACTTTTTAGCTAAAAAAATACGAACGGCTTCCTTTTTAAGCATGTTGAAGTTGAGCATGGAACTGTTGAGTTTTCCAGGCTGTTCCTGGAAGACCATGGAGGAGAAAGAAGCTGTTATATAAACTATTTTCTCCCCCCCTCTTCCCTCTCCCTCTTTTCCCCCAGGGCTGTGCGCACTCGTTGCTTGCTCGTGGATCGGGCACCAGACTGTGACGGATTTCTACAACACCATGGTGCCGACAAATGCAAAGTGAGTTTTCCGGTTGAGGCGGCGAGGGGGGAGGGAGAGGAATGAATGGCCCCCTAATCCCACAGGCTCTGGCCTTCTCTGATTTCTTCACCTCATCAAAACCTTGCCCACCTGCCCCCTCTCCCCGTGCTAAATAGTCCAGCACAGGGTGGATTTGATTTAAATCAAATTGAAGGAGCGTCTCCACCCCCATCGTCCAGCCCGGACACTGAGGTCCAGCTCCGAGGGTCTTCTGGCGGTTCCCTCACTGCGAGAAGCAAAGCTACAGGGAACCAGGCAGAGGGCCTTCTCGGTGGTGGCACCCGCCCTGTGGAATGCCCTCCCACCAGATGTCAAGGAGAAAAACAACTATCTGACTTTTAGAAGACATCTGAAGGCAGCCCTGTTTAGGGAAGCTTTTAATGTTTGATGTATTACTGTATTTTAATATTTGGTTCGAAGCCACACAGAGTGGCTGGAGAAGCCCAGCCAGATGGGCGGGGTATAAATTATTATTATTATTATTATTATTATTATTATTATTATTATTATCATCATCACTAGTCAGTAAGACAAAAACAAAAGGAAAAGGCCGCGAAAACACAAAATAATAGCAAAAACAGACAGATCTCAGCGTAACACTCAAAATGGGAGTCTGGCACTTAAAACGGAGCACGTTTGGCTTCCGAGAAAAGTTCGCAAACCAGAACACTTATTTCCGGGTTTGCGGTGTTTTGGGTTCCGAGTTGTTTGAGAACCAAGGGACCACTGTATTGCGCAACGGCTTTAATATATTTGTATCAAGCCAGGATTGCATCTCCCAGTGATCTATGCCAGATGTATGTGCATTTTCGAAAACCCCACCTGCTAAATACCAGGCAGGTACAACACCTGTCCTTCCAGCACCTATTTAAGGTCTTTCCTTTTCCATCAAGCCTTTTAAGTGGCGATTTTTAATCCCACTTTGTATGTGTACTGGATTTGAAACTGTTTTTATTGTTTAAAATCACTTTGGATTGTTCTGCGGGAAACAATAAAGGTAAAGGGACCCCTGACCATTAGGTCCAGTCGTGGCCGACTCTGGGGTTGCGGCGCTCATCTCGCTTTATTGGCCGAGGGAGCCGGCATACAGCTTCCGGGTCATGTGGCCAGCAGGACTAAGCCGCTTCTGGAGAACCAGAGCAGCGCACAGAAACGCCGTTTACCTTCCTGCTGGAGTGGTACCTATTTATCTACTTGCACTTTTGACGTGCTTTCGAACTGCTAAGTTGGCAGGAGCAGGGACCGAGCAACAGGAGCTCACCCCGTCGTGGGGATTCAAACCACCGACCTTCTGATCTGCAAGTCCTAGGCTCTGTGGTTTAACCCACAGCGCCACTCGTGTCCCTTTTGTGGGAAACAATAAATGAAATAAATAAGTTCAAAAAGAAAGGAAAATGCGTGCATAAATTGGCTCGATGGAGCATCTTGACGATTCACTTTTCTCCTCCTTGCAGGTACGAATTCGGATATGCCATTTTCATCGGCTGGGCGGGCGCTGCCCTTCTGCTCTTAGGGGGCGGGCTCCTCTCCTGCTCCTGCCCCGGGAAGACCGCCTACAGGGGGCGGCAGTACCCCCAGGGGAAGCCCATCTCCAAACCTCCCAGCTCCAAAGAATATGTCTAGTGCTTTTGATTGACAGTTCCTTCGCCCTTTCCCCCACGCCTAGAATACCCCTGGACCAGAGGCGTGGAAAGACCACCCTGAACTTTTTGGGATGACCTCCGCGACTCCTTCTCCCACCCGAGAGAGGCGTTTTTAAATGTTTCCTCATTTCACACCAGCTTTATTTTTCTTTTTTTACTAAATAATGCTATTTGCTAGCTTGCGATTTCCCGGTGTAATTCTTTTGCTAATGGATAGGAATGATCGTAAGTGATTAATGTATGATGATGTAAACACAACATTTCCACGCCGACTTATCGGAACGAGGGGGACACACACAGATAATTTGTTAATTGAACTCTCTTCTCCACCTACCACCCCTGCAGACTCCCAAATAAATATAATTTTTTAAAAAAGATTACTCAGGGACATATATATAGTTGCGACAGAACTAAAACACAGGACCCAGTTTCCTTACGTTTGTTGGAAAGCAGCTCCTGAACTGGGAAGACTGGAGAATTCAGCACTTAACTGTGCGTCTGTATTGGGTCGTTGAACACCAGCAAATTGAGCTTTAAAACAACAGCTCGTTTCTCTTTGGGGTGTTTACATCTATCTGTCGTACAATCATATATATATATTTTTCGGGTGGGGGGAGGAATGAATGGAGCCCTACTGGAAAACCCCCAGTGATATCTGTAACTGTGTGTAAGTATATAGAACATTCACTTTGGGGCGAGTATAAATGGTTTATACTGTATTAGGAAGGCTGTTCTGCATGGTGGAAAGTGTTGAGGGTGACAGGATTAGACCCTAATTGCTTCGTGTGGCGTTAGAGGCAAGTGTGAAGGTTTGCTTTGCTGCAGAAATCATTGGTGGTTCTTCGTGTACACAAATACCCCTGATTTTATACACACACAAATACACACACACATAAATACACCACCACCCCATAAATTTGCTAGGGTTCTGGTGAAAACATTTGACCACAACCTACAAAGATACAATACTCTCGTTCAAGCCAGAGGCCTTCGGAAAAACAACCTGTTTGCCTATTTCCTATTACCGATATTAATGGCCATTCTAATTTGGGGCCTGTTAATTTCAACCCTTCACTTTACCCCACCGCTAAAAACTTCCCAGTAAACGCCCCCTAAATTGTGTGTTGGGAACTTTTCTATACTTGGAGATATCTGCTTGCTTTAATAGATTTTAAATACTTGCTTTTAATTGCATGGGAAAAGGGGGAGGGAAAATATTGCCGGTCTTCAAGAAAGGAGGTATTCCTAGATTTTTAAATGTGGCCTTATTTAAAGCACTAAGACTCCTTAAGGTTGTGTGCGTGCGCATATTTTTTATTATTAATTGTCTTTGTGTTGCTGGGAATTGATATTTTTTTGTACATAATAAACAAGAATGTTTTGGACAAAAGCGGGCTTCAGTTTGACTCGTGTTTTGGGTGCCAGTCCTCATGAAAATTCATCGGCATGAATTTTTCCTAATACACACATTTTTTGTATTCAATATTGCCAAAGAGACATGATATTGCGCAACCATTCTCATATATAAACAGCCTGAAACAAGTTACAAAATAATTGTTGCAAAATACAAAGCAGCTCATTGCTCTTAAACTGGAAGTGTGGTCTAGCCGCCTTGTTAAGTCCCTTAATACTGTCCAAGAACTATCCTTGCATCTAGTCCCAGAGAAAGAACCTAAGCAACTTGCTTGTTCAGCAACACTGAGCTGAGTACAGGTGAAACTTGGGAAATTAGAATATTGTGGAAAAGTTCATTTATTTCAGTAATTCAACTTAAAAGGTGAAACTAATATATGAGATAGACTCATGACATGCAAAGCGGCCCAAACCAAGTACTGAGTAAATGTGCATGCTTCTACTTCTCAGAGGTCCAATATTGCTCTATTTGCAGTCCTTGTTTTGCTGGTTTCATTTAATATTCTAATTTTCTGAGATTGTTAATTTGGGGTTTTCATCAGCTGTACGCCATAAACATCACACTTATAACAAAGGCTTGACATATCTCGCTTTGCATGTCATGAGTCTATCTCATATATTAGTTTCACATTTTAAGTTGAATTACTGAAATAAGTGAACTTTTCAACAATATTCTAATTTTCCGAGTTTCACCTGTATTCTTTTTAATTTGTAGAAAACACACATATCCCAAGAGTCTGGCCCTAAACCTGTTCACTTATAAGCAAATCTCAGAACTCAACAATATTTACTTTAAGTGAAAATACATGTGGCTGCAGTTTTAATTTTTTATGAAACATTCAAAACTGAACCCACAAGTAACTTTAATTCTATTGCATGCAGCAAATTTACTTTTTGGCACGAGTTCTGCCATAGTTTTGTGTCATTTGCAGAAAGTTACACAAACAACAAAAATCTATGTAGATGTTTCCCCATACTTATTTTCCAATTGAATTTTACTGAAATTTCAGTAGTCTTAATTTTGTGGATCTGCCAGGTTGGTCAGGTGTTGGGATAGGGCAAAGGGGTATTTAACTTGGCCTTCTTCGTGGCTGGAATGTATCCTGGAAGACACAGGCAAGAATCGGCTCACTTTTTGCCTCTGGCCCCGCTTCCCTCTGCCACGTGGCCCTCGAAAGGTTTGTCAAAAGCAAATGTGGCCATTGGGCTGGAAAAGGTTCCCAATCTCTCTCTGAGACGGGTCAAAGCACAAAACCCAGCAGTCTTGTGGCCTCACATGGGGATGAGGCGAAGACCTGGAGGGGGTGGGCAAACCTACTGGCTGCCCCAATACCTGAAGAGAGCCTCCCTTGCAGGGGCAGTATACCTGAAAGCGCCAGGCAGCAGAAACGAAGGGGGAAATTATGAACTTGTGACGTTTGTGAGGGCATCTGTTTGGTGGCTGCTGTGGTGTTCTAGATCAGGGACGTCTGCAATCTAGGTAAAGGGACCCCTGACCATTAGGTCCAGTCGTGACCGACTCTGGGGTTGCGGCGCTCATCTCGCTTTACTGACCAAGGGAGCCGGCGTACAGCTTCCGGGTCATGTGGCCAGCAGGACTAAGCCGCTTCTGGCGAACCAGAGCAGCGCACGGAAACGCCATTTACCTTCCCGCCGGAGCAGGACCTATTGATCTACTTGCACTTTGACGTGCTTTCGAACTGCTAGGTTGGCAGGAGCAGGGACCGAGAAACGGGAGCTCACCCCGTCATTGCGGGGATTTGAACCACCGACCTTCTGATTGGCAAGTCCTAGGCTCTGTGGTTTAACCCACAGCGCCACCCGCGTTTTGATACTATACTCAACTGAAATGTTCAAATGATTCTTCGATTGTCCTTGAGTCTATCCGCCACAGTTGCGATCCTCTCCTCTCTTGCCACACCTTGTGAGAACCGCTGTTTTAAATGTTTAAATTGAACGGACCGCATTGCATGCTGTGGTTAAAAAAAAACCCCAGCAAGTGTGGAACAATGATGAAAGCAAACAAATTAAAATAATTATGACCCAGGACTATGGAGTTATCCAGAAGCTGGCTGCTTTCCTAGGGAAGGCTAGACACCTGCAGACTCTTAACTTGCAAGCCTGAATTCTCCCAGGGAACCATTGCAAGAAACAAAAGTGCTGCAGCACCTCCCAATGGCCATTTGGGATAGCACAGCTGTACATATACAACGCCCCACTGTGGAAGGACATGTGGGTCCAGAATTGGCCTCCACAGTCACTTACGGACTCATTGTTAAAACCGTGTTTATGGAAGACAATCTTACTTGGCTATGAGTGATCACCCAAAAAGAAGGTATCGTGGATTCACGAGGCTGTAACCATAAAGACTGGAAATAATTGTGTGTGTGTTACGTAACAGCAGCAGCAGCAGCAGAGGTAGCATTTTAAATTTTAAAAGATTTAAATTGTTTTATTCGTCTTGAGATTTTTTTCTTTGAGCTTTTTATTTTTTAAAACATTTGGGCAGACCCCAGAGATACTTCTTTCTTTGCATTTAACAAAATGTATATACTGCTTAAGGGACGCGGGTGGCACTGTGGGTTTAACCACAGAGCCTAGGACTTGCCCATCAGAAGGTCGGCGGTTCGAATCCCCACGATGGGGTGAGCTCCCGTTGCTCGGTCCCTGCTCCTGCCAACCTAGCAGTTCAAAAGCACGTCAAAGTGCAAGTAGATAAATAGGTATCACTCTGGCAGGAAGGTAAACGGCGTTTCCGTGCAGTGCTCTGGTTCGCCAGAAGCGGCTTAGTCATGCTGGCCACATGACCCGGAAGCTGTACACCGGCTCCCTCGGCCAGTAAAAAGAGATGAGCGCCGCAATCCCAGAGTCGTCCGCGATTGGACCCTTTACCTGTACCTATATACTGCTTACTCCATAGAGAAGCTGTAAGCCAGTTGTTCCCAAAGGGGGCACTACCACCCCCTGGGAGTGTGCTGCTGGGATTATCTGGGGTGTTTGTGGGGGGGTGGTGGTAAGAGGCAAGGGGGCAGCAGAGAGATGTGGGAGATGTCAACGACCATCGGGCATTAAAAAGCTAGCACAGTCAAACCTCGGTTCCTGAACGCCTCCGTTGTGGAACGTTTCGGCTCCCAAACGCCAAAAACCTGGAAGTAACTGCTCCAGTTTTCGAATGATTTTTGGAAGCCGAACGTGCTTCGTGGCTTCTGTTTTGAATTTCCGTATTGTATTGAGGCTTCCGCTTTCAGTTTTCGGTCGTCGAACGTTTCAGAAGTCGAATGGTCTTCCGGAACGGTTTACGTTCGACAACCGGGGTTTGACTGCATCACCAGATTACATGGTGCAGCAGCCCAACCGGACTCCTTCCTCTGCCCCAGCTGCAACGAAACATGTCTCTCCCCTATCAGTCTCACTACAGCCACAGCTGGCGCTGCGGCCGTCCAACAGCTTGACTTCACCACCAAAGATGCTCTCCAAAGACAGACACCAACAACAACATCACCACTGTTCAATTCATTAAAATAAATAGTTTAAAGTGGATTTTGAATTAATGTGCAATTACTGTTCCTGTTTGGAAATTATCCATGTTATGATCTTCCTTAGTGCAAACATAATGCTTTTCAGAGAGTAGGGGGCACAGGGGATGAGTTTATGGAACCAAGGGGTGGTGACCCCCTTTTGAGAAAGTTTGGCGACTACTTTTCTATATGGTTGTTTTTATCTTGTTGTTGTTGTTGAGTCGTTTAGTCGTGTCCGACTCTTCGTGACCCCCTGGACCAGAGCACGGCAGGCACTCCTGTCTTCCACTGCCTCCCACAGTTTGGTCAAACTCATGCTTGTAGCTTCGAGAACACTGTCCCACCATCTCGTCCTCCATCATCCCCTTCTCCTTGTGCCCTCCATCTTTCCCAACATCAGGGTCTTTTCCAGGGAGTCCTCTCTTCTCATGAGGTGGCCAAAGTCTTAGAGTCTCAGCTTCAGGATCTGTCCTTCCAGTGAGCACTCAGGGCTGATTTCCTTCAGAATGGAGAGGTTGGATCTTCTTGCAGTCCATGGGACTCTCAAGAGTCTCCTCCAGCACCAGAATTCAAAAGCATCCATTCTTCGACGATCAGCCTTCTTTATGGTCCAGCTCTCGCTTCCATACATCACTACTGGGAAAACCAGAGCTTTCACTATACGGACCTTTGTTGGCAAGGTGATGTCTCTGCTTTTTAAGATGCTGTCTACTTTTTTTATCTACTTTTATACTACTGTTTTTATCTACTTTTTGTTTTTTTGCAAACATTTCCAAGATTTTTTAAAAAACAATCAAGAGGTATATAAAATTTATGTAACATATAAATCCAGACAGGCTCCAGATCCGATTGCTCGCTTTGCATCGGACCAAACGGATATGCCGCTTTTTCCGCAGAGACGCTCAAAGCGGTTTACAAGTATCCAACCGGCTCCTCCCTCCACTCCTCCTGCTCCTCCCGATGAAGGCCGGCTCGGCCCGGGAATCTTCCCACTTCCCAGCCAACCCGCCTCCTCCACCTCCCTGTGCGCTGGCGTCGTCCCACCGGGCGGAGCTGCCGGGGACTTGCTCCAGGCGGCGCTGCGCGCTCGGCTTCGCGGACCGGCCGCCCGTGCGTGGCTCCGGGTCGTCCCGCAGACCGAGGGGGGGCGCCCTGCTGCCCCCTCCCGGGCGCCGCGAGGATGGCTCCTCCGCCGGGCGCCGCCCGCAGCCGCGCACCCCGCCCCGGGGCGGAGCAGGAGCCGCTGCCGGCGGCGCCTCCTTGCTCCTCCGCGCGCCCCTGGCTGGTCTTGCCTCTGCGCGGCTGCTCGCAGGTCTGGTCCAGGTATCAGCGCCGCCGCCGCCTCCACCTCCGGCCAGGGCTACCCGGAGCGTCCCGGAGGAACGGCGCCGCGATGACGGTCAAGTTGGACTTCGAGGAGTGCCTGAAAGACTCGCCGCGCTTCAGGTGGGTCGGCTTGGCG